GGGGGGGGGGGGGGGGGTGGTCAAAAGCGACTCAGTTATTTAAAATAAACGTGATATTTAAAGTTCTAGCCCACTTTTAGCTGCATGCCGTCACTTCCGGGGTTTTTATTTTGGCTTCACGTTTTGTTCTCGTCGTTTCCTGTTTTATTTTGAAATTCGAACTCCCCTCTCGTTTCTGGTCGCTTCCTCTTTTGCCACCGGTCCGTCCTCCCTGATTCATAATCAATTCCACCTGGTTCCTCTCTGGCCTCTCCTCTCGTTTTCAGCGGTTTATTTGATTTATTAGCGTTTTTTATTTTATTTTCTTAATTTACGTCTCAGATTCGTTTTCACGTCACGTGAGTCAAAGTCGTGTCATGAATTTTTCGTAATTTTCCATAGCATGTATTAAGTTTTAGTTTTTAAGCCTTTTAGTTTTTCCATCTTCAGTGGAGTAATTTTTTTAATGCATTTATCTATTTTTGTAACCTTTTCATGGCCTCGTGCCTCCTCAATTTGCTGGAGAGATTGCTTGTTTGTACCTAACTTCCATCATTTATAATTATTTATAGAAACATATATATGGTAGGGTTAGTAAATTAATTTATTTTGTTTAATTTGAATAATAATAGCCCTGTTTTTCCTCCATTAAAGGAGGGTTTTATATTTTGTTTGTACATTTTATTTTTTATTATTTAATTTGAATAATAATAGCCCTGTTTTAAAGATGGGGGTTCTTATTATTCCTGTAGCTTTTCATAGTTTAATTTTGACTTTCGTTTGTCGTTAATTTCATGTCCTTGTTTCTTCCTTTCGTGGAGGAGTCGTTTTAAAGTAATTTAGCCTGTTGGTTTCTCTCTTTCTTTGGAGAAAGCTATCAGCCTCCGTGTGCTTCCTCCTCCGGCCACCGGGGGGCGCTGCGGTGCCGCTGATGGAGGACCGGCCTCAGTATCCGTTGTCCTTTTTTAATTTTTCAATTAACTTTATTTTTTTTAAAGTATAAACAAATAAAGCAATAGCAACAATACAATCCTGTGGATGCATAGTACAGGCGGATTTCAACATGGAAATACAAAGGGACAGTGATAAGGAAAAGAATAAGTGCATGATATAATGAAACCATAAATAACACAGCAACAAGGGGATTCATATGTTAGGATTGTTGTACATCGGTGGGCAATTCCATTAGTATTTCAGTCAGGTA